GCCCATGTTTTTGTCAGGTTAAATCCATCATTGAAGACCTTCTCGACAAGCTTCCTGAGCAGTATAACATGGCAGAGATGTTGGTGAAGGCAACAGAGCGAAGCCCTTATGTTTCAGTCTGTTTGCAGGAATGTGAACGCATGAATCTCCTACTTGGGGAAATAATGGCATCCCTCAATGAACTAGATCTTGGCCTGAAGGTTAGTGTGTTGAAGGCTCCTCTTTGCTCATCCGTATTGCTGTATGTGCTGCATCATTCATTTGAATCATGCGCTTACAGGGAGAGCTCACCATTTCTTCCACTATGGAGACTCTGGAGTCGGCATTGTTCAATGATGCTGTGCCAGATTCCTGGGCCAGATTGTCTTACCCCTCCAGCAAAACGCTTACACGATGGTATACAAAGCAACTTGCTCTTTCCTTTGATGCATATTTTGTCATGCGTATTACTCTCTGCTGGCTTCTAAAGAATGCACACTTTGCACTTCTGGTTAAACAATCAAAAGAAAAATGTGACAGATACCAAAAGACACTTACTTGACCCTTTGATGCCAAATTTCTTAACGACAGTGCTGTTTTGAAAATGCACTGAAAAGATAAAGACCATGTTTCATACACAATCGAGTTTTTCAGCAACATGTTGCAGCACCTGTGTGAGCACCTACCCATCCATGTATTTTCGATGTCGCTAAGCCCGAGGTGAGCTGGAGCCCATCCCTGCTGACTTTGGCTCAGCTGCCGGTAATAGCAGGACACAAATAGACAAACAAACATTCACAACTTGTGACAATTTGCGTTGCGTTTTTTATAAATCTAACGTACATTTTTGGCGGGGGGGGGAATGTGTGCGTAAGTCTAAATACCTGGACTTAATCTACGCAAGCATTGGGAGCACATGCAAACTCCATACAGGTAGGCCAGAGTCTCGACTTGAATCCCGAAACCTCCGAACCTCGGTAACCAGTCGTCTGCTTGTGTGCAAAAGCCGCAAATCTTTAATACCAAAATAATGGTGAGGCTGGGAAAATAAATTCCATCAAAAGTACAACAGGGACATGCTGTGCAGGTAATGCTATATTTTGATCATTTTGAAGACTCGAGGTGCAGTAAGTACAGTTAGCATTTTGAGGTGACCACAAACATTTATAATAATGCACTAATTGCTGTCAATTACAGTTTCACTTGATGTTTAATGGTACCGAGTAGTAATAGAGTGCAATATCAGACCATTGACAAATGAAGTCACATTGCGACTTCATTTGTGTTTTAGGTTCAGTGATCTCAACTGTAGTTGTCGTGACCTGGACAGCTGGACACAAGACTTAGTTCAACCTGCTGTTGTTTGGCTCTCGGGCCTCTTCAACCCGCAGTCTTTCCTCACTGGTGAGCTCTCAAAAAACAGTGAGACACACGATGAGAAGATAGAGTGTACTTCAGAGAATTAATTCATTTAAATCTTCTGATTTTGGGAAGCTATTCTCCAGACCATTGCTCGTAAGAATCAGTGGCCCCTGGATAAGATGACGTTGACTGCTGATGTGACAAAGAAGACAAAAGATGATTTTGGGCATCCACCACGGGAGGGGGCCTACATTCATGGCCTCTTCATAGAAGGTAAAATCAATATTATCCTTACTGAATTACAACATTCAAAACTGTTAGAATTAGCACTGAGACTCAATACATAACACCCCTTATGTTCGCTTCAGGAGCACGTTGGGACACTCAGTCGGGAGTCATCGCAGAGGCAGTTTTGAGAGATCTCACTCCTCCCATGCCGGTACTGTATGTACGAGCCGTACCGGCGGAAGAGCAGGAGCTCAAAAACACTTATGAGTGTCCTGTATACCGCACAAAACATCGAGGATCCACATATGTTTGGACATTTTACCTCCGCAACCGACAGCCTCCTGCTAAGTGGATTTTAGCTGGTGTGGCCCTGCTGCTTTCAGTGTGACATCTAATAGAATGCAAATGCCGGTCGTATTATTCTGAAAAGTTTTGCATAACATGTTTTTGATGTATTGATTTATTTTTTTTTAATCCATTTGAATTAGAGTCAAGCTTCTAGTACATATTTCTATTTTTATTTTAGCTTGATATTTGTTGTGTGTCAGCACTTCAGCATGTTTTTTTTCCCCAGAGTTTAAAAAAATAAGAACAAAGATCACAACCTACATGTTTAAAGCGGTACATGTCATCTCTAGACGCTGTTGAACATCTTGCCTGAGATGGGTCAATCCATTCGTGATGTGCTGAGAGCTTGTGTCTCCATTTTAGACCATGTAATTTTGGATAGGCAGCATATTTTATTGGAAGGTCAAGATTAAAAAAAGCTCGCTGGTTGCCCTCTACTAACTGAATGATACACAACGCCGTCTGGAGAGTTCCCGGCCTGAATTCCCAGGAGATGATGTGCACGGTTGCTATTGACTTTTAAATGAGGTGCATTTGACATTGACCTTTTGTACGGCTTCGGCAGAATACTAACAGACTAGTGTAATTCATTCAGCCGGGCCCGCAGAAGAAACCTATTCAAAGGCATTGATAGCTTTCAATGAGACAGCAACGCATCAGATGACACATCTTTTATCTGTTCTCTGTCCAGATGAACCAAAATAACCCAAAGATCTAGCCAGACTCCTTTTAAGCTAATCGAAACACACATATGTGCAAAATAAAGGGTGTGATTGTGAACGTATCTTAGAATATCTGGTAAATAATAAATAAATGTGTTATATGTGCTCTTCAACAATGAGTTTTCGGTTTGAATTATTGCAACCGTGTTACATACAAGTAACAGCACATCTGATGTGAAAATTATTGCTCATGCTTTTTAAGCACTAATGGCTATGCCTTTGCTAATTCTGCCCAGCATCCCTTATATCAGCAGAGAGAATTGTGGAGGGTGAAAGATTGACTCTGTGGTTTGTATAACACACAGGAAATGAAGAACTCGTCTTCCCAGTAGTGTCTCTTCATTTTCCCTCTCTTCCTCTCATTAGCTGCGAGCCAGTCATTTGATGACAGGGAAATGATAACGTGCCCAATGTATTTGGGCAGAAATGGCAGGCTACGCCGGGCCAGACGCAGCAGGGGTCTTGCCACTGTTAGTCATGTTAAAAGGCCAACAAGGACACCTGGTTAATGTCAGATAGATTGTGCGCTGACGGAAAGATGTAACTATGGAAATACACACTTCACTTCGTCCTACTCTGTTTGGACCAGCAGTACATGTTGTTTTGGTGTGTGATGCAATTTCTATTCTATTCTAATAACTAAGAAAAAATATCACACATACTCACTAAAAGCCTTAGTTGTTTATCGGACATTTCTACGCCACTGCAAACTCCACTCCCCTCCAAAATTAGAGCATCATTACATTTTCAAAGGTAGATGTTGGTTACAGCTTCCGTATTGGATCGTATTATATCGTGTACTAATGGATTGTATCATGTATCCATTCTTTCAAATACTGATCATACCGGGTGAGGTGTGGTTTTGTAATTTTTTTTCTTCATTGTTTTTTTAACAACTGTGTGGTTCAGTACTGTTTTACAGCCAGAGATGATGAAGTGGCATCAACGGTTTCACAACAGCAGGTGAGTTTTGTCTTTCTTTTTCTTGTTTTCTTTCTTTCTTTCTTACTTTTGTTCTTTATTTCGTTTTAATTGTTGTAATAGATACCCTTCATGTGGTTTATTTCTTATTAATTATAGTACCAGCATGTATGCATGACTTCTCACAAAGGTCGTAGACAATGAGCTCACCCAAGTAATGCTTTATAAGTGACAACATGTACTATAACGCAATGTAAAAGTCACATTTTATATTCATCAGGTTGATTTTATGAAAAATATTTTATTAGGTGCACACTGGGTCGATCTATGGTTTGCCATGTCACACAGACCAGTCAAAACTGCACAAGAGAATTTTACAGAGTAATTTCAAAGAAGAAAAATAACTTATTCTGAAACAAATAAATACAATATGCACAAACATTTTATGACTACAGTATAAATACAAAACAATATGCCTTGTTTAACAGTCATGACTTAAAATATACCCCCATATATATATAATGTACATTCTACTGAGTCTGAACTCAAGATAGATAGATCAAGCAGCAGCAACGAGTTGTTTTAAGTTACGATATGTAGATTTTTCTTTAATGACTTCTCACTAAATATACGCAGAACCTCCTGAAAGTGCTGCAATATTTTTACCTCACATTTTCCTTTGTATGTGGCTTAAGGGCCAGTTCACATCTTCCTCCAAGAACTCCTCCCTACAACACTACACCATCTATGTCAACGAAATTAGATCCTTGAAATTCGCTGGGCTTTGTGGCACTCTAAGGGCAATTATAACAGTGCATTTAGTATTCCCTTCTGAAGGAAAGAATTCTGAATACAATATAGATTGATGTGAATGAGTGTGTTTGCTGCTTAATTATACTGATTGTCCAACAGCATATTTTTGAATGGGAATTTTTAAAAATGGTACAATGTACTTGCCTTTGCACCCACATGTTTTCACATAATGTTCTCCACTAATAATGTAAATTCATAATCCTGACCTAATCACACATTGCACAATGCCTTTGCACCCACATGTTTTCACATAATGTTCTCCTCTAATAATGTAAATTCAATTCAATCACACATTGCACAAGAAAAACACAACTAACTTTCAGAACGATTTGTAAATGTCCAGCAAGACTTGGATGCTACTCATTTAGTTATGACTCCCTCCACCATCAAAAACAACAGTAGGAATTGTGTTTACTAACAACAGAACAAAATGCATCTTTACCAAAATACTCTTTGCTTGAATTTGGCTTGAATTTAATCAGTATTTGTCAATAGTCATTCTGTCATCTTAATAATTATTAGTAGCTGGTAGTCTGCGAGATAAATACTTTTAGGGAGACAATTAAAAGTGTTGCATTTCTACCTGTCTGGATTTTGTCGGCTAAACCAATTATCCAATTTTATTTCATTGGTTCCTTTTTTTTTTTTTTTTTTTTTTAAGTCAAATAATCCTGCATCATTGTTCATCTGTGTCAGTAACATATAGTGCCAGGCAGGGCAGTTAAATGCTTTTCCAATAGATGGAAAAAGTTGCAATTACCCTGTGTATCTATTTTTTCCAGGTCCGTAACAGGATGTTAATAACTTTCTATTAAGATTTTACAATGAGTAAATAATTGTGGTTAGAATTGAGACATCATTACTTCAGTATGTATGATATTTGTGACATTTTTTTGTTTTGTGCCGTGACAGCTATGATGTTAAATGTGTCTTGACTCAGTAAAAATTGCTGAACAGTTTGCGAAACATAAACTATCAGCTCCATTTTCCAAATGCTGCCACCTGATGGACATATTAGTAATAGCAACAGTTTAGACTGGCCCTCTATGTACCACTACGGCAGCAATTTGGATGTAATGCTGATAAAAAAAATGCTATATGTTATGTCTGTATGGATGGGACTGTGATGAACCTTTACAAAAAGACGCGGTAACAAAAACAATGCTTCCATTTGTCTTTTTTCCTGTGTCAGATTACAATTTCCTGATTGACTAGCTCCCTCTGGTGGCCGTTGAGTTGCATGCCCTCGGATTGCTGACATGGTCCTGAGTTGATTAGAAGGCTACAGTAACTAACATGTCTTCCCTTTCAAGTCCGAGGCTCCAGCCTGTGTGACAGTTCAAAGAGGGTCTGCTGATTGTCGATGATATGAAGGTTGTCCATGTAAGCGCGCACGTCTGCACTGGTCTTTGGGCTCATATCATTTGCTGTAAAGGTTAAAGAGAGAGCATTTGTCTTCATCATCAGATCTCTTTTCCGCTAGTTAGCACAAAATCGGAGCACTGACCCAAATGATCCTTCTGACATTGTCTGATGAGGCGGACCGTGTCTGCTATCATGTGCTGGTGAAGAGGGGTGACAAGCGCGTGATTAATCAATGTGATTTGAAAACCAGCGTCTTGTCTCTTTGATGACTTACCAGCTTTTCAAAGTTCACGAGATTATCATGAAATGTCCTGTTGCCCTCGTGGATGAATGTGATATCTAAAAGAAAGAGAGCTACATGTTTAGTTTTGAGATATTCGAGGTGGTGTGTCTACATCCTGATCCTCTTCCATGGTGATGATGATGCTACCTTTAAGGAGCAGAGGAAGAAAGGGGATCTTTGGCGCCTTCATCTTCTTGAAGGTGTCCCTGTAGGCTTTGTGGTTCAGCGAGGGATCCTGCAAAGACATTTTCAAAACAAATGTGTGGGATGCTCAGCGTGTACAATGTGCATGCACATTATACAATGCCCCTTTTTTTCCTTTTGTCAGTGAAGCACTAAAGGAATTTTCTGTACTGTATGGTATATCCCAGTAAACTAGAATATGTGGATGGCGTGGGGGTGTAGACACGAAAAAGTAAAATGTAGACACAGTACTGTATACCATATACTGTATTCACTACACAGAGGGAAATATGAATACAATTATTATTTCAAAAATTATGGCTTAGAGCTGCTCAAGAAATTTGATTATTGCATGTTTTGTTTCTTTAAATCGAGGAAAGGGATTGGCCATCTCCAAAGTGATTTCTTTTGGTCTCAATTAATCTATGTAATATATAATAGTACTGTATCACTTTTGAAATTTGCTCCAATATAAGTACTGAAATTAACTTCGCTGCAATATTTTATTGTGGTGAGTTACACTTGTATGCCTTCTTTTCAAGGTCTGCATTGTTTTGCATGAGCACCTTCAAATGCACTTACTGTGATACTCTCCAGCTCAGAAAACAACCTTTTGAATTTCCCAGGAATTTTCTGCAGAAATAAAAATGACATATTTCATGTACTGCGTTGTAGAATTGTCAGGAAGAGAGAGAAATAGTAAAAATAATATTAATTAAATTAGTTTGTGTTTGCTACCTCCCACGTCTGACTGAGACGGCTGACAGCAGCAGTATTCAGGCCCATTACAATGGCAAAGAAACAGTGGAGGTTCCTCTGTGCTTTGCAGCTGCCAAATGACATGCAGTCAAATTAAATTACCGGGTCACAGCAGGCAACGTCATGCAGTTCATTATTCTACCACTAGAGAGCAGCATTCCCACAAATACGAAATACCAGTTATATTACAATATGTATATTTCCTTAAATTTGGCCTACATTAGTCAACTGCTGGGAGATCAGCTGGGGCAGTATGGACTTTACATGTGTACATGAATAACTAAACATATTAAATAAAATATATATCTCAATAATATTACGTACATAAACGAATACTTAATTAAAATAACGATGTTTTGCTTGCCATTCCAAGCGAGACATGCTCTCTTCTTATTTTTATATGTCAGATCTATTCTTTATAGAATAGTTCATCATACTATATGCCTGAATGCACTGTGCTTTCTTGTTAAACTAGATGCCAGGTATGCAGGCGACATGTTGAGGTCAACATGTCACACCGCAATACATGGTAGGATCAGTAAAGAGTAATTAAAGCCAAGTAGGGGCATTTTTTCCCTGAGGGAAAGGAGGTGTCTATCTGAGGAAGAGTGCTCATTTAAGTGGATCACGCCTGCCACTTAGTGATTAATTGGGGCATTTATTAGCGTGGAGGCCGTTATTTGAGGAAATACAATGATTAGATGGATGCTTACTGGGCAGCTATCTTGATGAACTTCTTGATAAGCTGGACTCTTTGGCAGAGCGCCGTGCACACTAACACTTCAGTCATCACCCACAATTGGATCTCATTGAAGCGCTGAAGTAGCAACTCCAATGCCGCTGTGTGGTTTCCATTAGAATGACGCCTGAAGGTGAAGTAGATCAGCTCTTGCTGCAAATACAGTAACACGGCTCACGAATGAGGCAGAATGAGCATCATCAGGTCGCTAAGTAATTCAACCATGGAAAATTAAAGTCATGTTATGGTACAAACCTCGTGAATGGAATCAAAGATGCTCCAGTCAAGGTTGCTGAAAGCTACAGCAACATTCCATGTGTTTAAGCTAAGCATGTGGGCGGTCCTCTGTTGCAGTTTTGAGTTTTCTGTAAACGGGTTCTGAGGAGAGATGCAAAAAAAAAAAAAGCACGTCGTTAGATATACTGTACTGTACTTGGGACCCCCTAATCAATTGTTCACACCTTAGTTCACCTCTTACTCATTTACCTTGCTGAACATTTTGGATAATTCTATACTTCCAACATCAATGTCCTTGGATTTATCATATGTTCCAATAGCCAATCAACATAACCTTGTTGTCTTCTGAGAAGAGTGTATTAGACAGAGGTGAGCATTCTGTCAGGAATGGCAGAAGGTCCATCAGTCTGTCGCCACCGGATACTCGTTTTGTTGATGAATGACGACCAACTTAAAACCATTGATGGACTAAGAACTGCCGGAAGTGGGTTTTCGACCGTCAGTATAATCGTCACAAACCGGGTAAGGTACCGACACACCATGTTTTTTCCAGAGAAGTTCTTATTAGTTGAGTTTTAAATGTCTCTTTTTATATGAGGAAAGAGTAGGATTGAATAGGAGGTTGTGAAATAGACCCAGTCAGACCCACACTTCATTTCAGAGGATAGTATTTAGTGAAGTTGTCATGTGAACAGTTAAACGATTATAAGTCAAAGTGCTCAATAAAGTTAACTCTAATTGAAGAAAATTTAAAAAAAAAAACTGTCTTTGATATTAATTCCTGTTTCATTTGCCTTGAGCATTAACCTAACCTGTAAAAATACAGATTAATCTATTGCTTGGAATTGTTAAAAATACATGGGAAGAGGACCTTGAAAACATAATCACATTTAAAATGTTAGAATCGCAATATTTAGGGAAAATAACTACAATTCAGTTATACTGTATTTCAAAATCATTCAGCCCTATTTGTGACCATACTATGTATTGTAAAGTGACTGATGTGACAGTGTTCTTTCTCCCTTACCAGAACTTCACCCAGGTCCTTTCGGCAAACATGCAGTCTTCCCACCGGCTGCAGGGAGGGGGAGAAAAGTGTGTCGTGAGGCTGCAGTAGGAGTCTGCCTACGGGAGAGGAAATGCATCACGTATCACAAGTGGCAGACATCAGGCAAGATCTGTCAAGCAGAGTACAAGAGATAGGACCCCCCACCCCCTGGAGTAAAACAGACACTGACTTAACTGTTTATTGATCGACTATAAAACGCTTCTCACTTTTTCAATGCGGCACCTCATGCTTAGCCCCAATATACATCAGTTTAGAAAAACTTGAAAGGTTGAGCATGTATGGAATCAGCAGCAGCTTGGTCGGAGAAAACTGTGTTATCTTTTTAATTGGCTACTGGGCAATTAATTGTGTATATTTTTTGATAGTCAAGTGTGTATAGTCTGCTGTGTTAGGATCAGTAACCAGTCTTTTATCATTTAAATTTGAAATCCTGAACACTCATTGATGGACACTTACTTATGCATATACTGTACACACATTACTGAGATCAAATACTGTACAAGAATTGAATGAAAATCCAGCTTTGAAAAAAAAGATCAGAATGATGCAGGCGGTGGAGATCCTCATCCCCATCCACCCTCCCGCTGTCCAGGTAGTGTTTTTTTTTTTTGTTTTGTTTTGTTTTTTGCAGAACTGCATTGCATGATAGTAAGAGCTGACTGAATACTACAAATGCTTTACAGTATGACTACATTCTGTACCCCAAAATCTACAACCTCAAAATCGACATGTTTTGATCAAAATGACAGTCAAGATTGTTGATACTGGTACTGGACTGGAACGCATTAAGCATACTGTACTTTTTGTTGATCACCTTGTAAACGTGACCTCGTATAGTGTCGTGTTTACCTCCAGGATAAGTGACGGCCACCAGCACCAGTTCACCCTGGGAGACACCCATCCTCTCAGCCACGGCTTGTAGCAAATCCTGTGCCACAGCTCCAGGATGGGCCCTCATGCTCAGGTAGGAATCCATCGTGATGTACACGTGGCATGGTACTGCAAACATGGAGTATTCTATGTGAGGCAAAAAAACCTAAGTGTTATCATGGAAAACATTTTGAACTATCTGAGCAAGCGTTTGTCTCAATGTGTAGTGCACTAGTGGTGCGCAAAAAAAAAAGAAAAAAAGACCTGAATTAAATATTCAAAACTATATGTAATATGACAGAGTCTTAGACTTTTGTTTTAAAATCAATACACTACATTTGTTAAGTGCAGGTCACTTGTATTTAACTTATACAATATAGTGAAATTAAATTTCTTAGTAGTGTTTTTTAAAAACATTTATACAGGTAAAATGTTTATTTAAATTATGTGCGATATGATTTAATTGAATTAGTGCTCAAGGGTGGAATTTGCCCCCCCTTAAGAAACCCTTAAGAAACCACTGCACCTGTGGAAGATCATCCTATCAGAGACAGAAGACATGGCCAAGGTGGCAGTAATTTGTTGTGCACACTCAGCCACACTTCAGTCATGAGCACAGTTCTGAAACTTCTTACTTTGGGCATCAAGAGATTTGCTAACTATTTAGTGAAATCCATATTTGGAAATTAAAAAAAAAAAAAAAAATCACCCCCCCGCCCCCAAACCTCACCATCCCCAATGCTCCCCCACTCCTCATTTGAGCTGGGCAAGACTTGCAAACATAAGAAGAGGGAATAGATTTCAGGCACCTGTGAGGATTCAGATTTCTGCTCAACAGGTATTCTGACGATGTCTTTTAGACTTCGAATTGATCATATATTTCAAATAATAACACATAAAACTGTTGAATTTAGTGTTTTAAGTTTTATTCATGGGGGCACGGTGTTCGAGTGGTTAGCACGTTGGCCTCTCAGTGCAGAGGTCCAGGTTTGGATTCCGAACTCCTGACTTCCTGTGTGGACTTTGCATGTTCTCCCCGGGCCTGCCTGGGTTTTCTCCGGGTACTCCGCTTTCTTCCCACATTCCAAAAACATGCATGGGAGGTAAATTGAACACTAAATTGTCCCTAGGTGTAAGTATGAGCGTGAATGGTTGTTTGTCTATGTGTGCCCTGCGATTGGTTGGCAATCGGTTCAGGGTGTACCCCGCCTAATGCCCCAAGACAGCTGGGATAGACTCCAGCACACTTGCGACCCTTGTGAGGATAAACGGATTAGAAAATGGATGGATGGATGAACTGTTCTGGTTGACATGTCATATTTATGCTGTATACTGCCTTTTTTTTTGTCAGTGCTCAACCAGTTGCGATCCTTCTCACTCACTTCCCGGGGGCTGCGCCCTGTTTTGTGTTTCCTAGTTTTCAAACAGAGCAGTTGTCAGGATGACTAAATTAGCACTTCCCTTGACAGTCTTTCCGACAGCACAACATGCTGTTGCGACCTGTGTTTGCATTGTTTTTCACAGCCGGATAAGAACTCAGGAATGTGCATGCCAAACTGTCATATTCAGACCTTGGCAGAATTCCCATTGTGCTGCTGCTGCTGCTGCGTATAATGCCCCATCAGAACTGCTTTAAGAGACAACCTATGATTTGAGAAATGCATGTGTCTTGTTACCTTCCTTGGTCTGTCTGTGCGTGGCCCTGGACAGGACCCCGTTCTCTTTCAGGCTTAATTGGTGGAAAAGTGCTTTGCTCTGGAAGAAGGAAAGTGAACACTGAGAACCAGGTGACAAAGTCCAACGTGGCAGGAGGTGTGAGGATACATGAATCAGAAAGGACAGCACATTAGACACAAAATAGCCCGCATTGTAACATTATAGCCTCTTTGCTCACCTTTCTTTGAGGGGAATATTCCTCCACCGTGCTGAAAAAGAATAAATTAAACAATAAAGCACCAACCAACACAGACCCAAACATGTTTCATTATTTATCCCTCTGAAGTGGATTGTGTGTTCTTTTTTTCCTTGTTGATTTGCATAAATACATCTCCCTCACTGTCGAATCAAAGCGTTTTTTATGAGGTCACTTCATTATTTGAAGTCAATGTCAAGAAGGTGCGCGCAGTTTGCTCGGTGCATTTTTTTTTTCCAGACCTTTTTATTTATTCACCCTCTCTCCACATTTAAGTCTGATGGGGGTCTATGATGGCTGGGCCTGTGTATTATTAGGGTCCTTTGCATCACAATAGACATGTTGGCACAAAGTCTACCCTGGGGGCCCTTCTGGCCAGGCAGCAGCCATCCTAGCCTCACGAAAATATATTTCGGCGTGCAGTACTGTGAATTATAAAAGGCTTTGAGAGAAGTAATTGAATTAAGTTACTTAGCTCCTCAGAGCACACGACAGGCTTTCTTTTGCAGAAAAACTACCTTGGCTCAGTCTGCATTCTATAGCCCAAGGCAGCCAGTCTTATTCTCCCAATGGGCTTCATTGTATAACGCCCATAAATAGTAGAGGACGTCACTTAGTAGCACCCACGCAAAGTGTACTGGTTTTGGTGGGTCTCCGTCACTAGATGTGAGCAGGAATGAGGCAGTGCCAGAAAATAACAGCAGCAGCATCAGGCGGGATCATTTGCACTCGATCCTAATGGGCAGCAGGACAGACTCCCCAGGCAGACTCTGATTGGAGGCTGCGGTCCAGGGAAGAGAGTAGGAGGGGCAGTCACACTTGGCAAAGTGTTTCTCAGCTGGGGGATTGTTACCTTCCACAAGGAGGTCATTTTTTATTTGGTAGTGAGAAGAATTCTGCAACTACTAAACTGATTTCCACAAAATCATGTGGAGGGTGATGCAAGAACCCATTGACTTCCTCACCCACCAATTTCTTTCTATCCATCAAGATGTATAGATATGTATAGAGTGAGCGCTAACGAAAAAAAAAGTGTGTGTGCTTCTATCCATCTATCTCTTTATATATATATATATTATATATATATATATATATACACACACACACACAGTAAACACTTGTGTTTGATGGCGTCTCAAATTAAGTATGCATTGGCTCAGTATAGATTGGGAATGTATAACACACACATTTTAGTCATTAGTGTGTGTATGTGTGTGTGCAGCATGCATGTAAATCTGTTTTTTTCTTTGAACAGCCTTGAATAATATGATGAATGAGAAGCTTGTTCCTCGCACATTTTCATGCAGAGAAATGAGCTGTTGCAATCAGCCATTGCTTCCATTGAAGATGAGGTTGCCCGCTATCATGCAAGGACAGAAAGTGTGCCAAACTGTGGCTATTAAAATTGCGGTCCCGCTTCGGTGACTTCCTGTGTTGCACTCCCTGGGGCGTCCCTCGCCTAATGTTGTAACATCACAAAGCTTCATCAACACCAAATATCAACTAAGATGAACAAAATGTCTCCAAATATTATGTTTGCAGATTGCTGTATTATCAAAGAATTGATTAACTATGTATAGGAATGTTTGGTAATGAGATTAGGGTTCACTGTGGGCAGGTTCTTCCCTCTTGTCAAGGTACATAAACCTGTCATTTAACCGAGAGCTCATCTTTCTTCTATTCCCTCGATTTATGGAGGTTCAGCATAAAGGGCTCCCTGACTTTCATATTGGCATGCACAAAAGCCCAGAACACTGCCTTTCCTCCTCAGCCTCTGAAAGAATGCATTGATGAGAGAAGAAGAAGCGTTCCCTTTGTGCGGTGTACTCTCGCCTCTCAGTGCTGCAACAGTTCTGCAGACGTTCCGTAATAATGTTGTATATAAATCATTAAGTAAGTTGTCATTGATGACCTCTGATCATGTTACTCACTGCCTCCGATGCAGCTGGTAGAGCTTCTGCAGCTCCTTCAAATCCCTCTGCAAGGCGGGGTGCTCGTAAAGGTCGTCCAGCATATAGTGGTACAAAGTCTGCACGGAAAAGTCAATTTTCATTTCTTCCTGTTGCACCTAAAGGTGCTGCTTCCCCCCCCCCCTTTTTTTGTCACCCATTCGTCCTCTACCTTCATGAACACTTTGACATGCTCGTCCTCTCTCAGAAAGTCCTTGCAGAGAAGCATCCACTGTGACACCAGGTATGCCACTTTCTGTTTCCTCTCCAGAGCCTCCTTTGCGTCCTCTTTCACTCGGCAGCGCTTGCAGCAGTAAGTAAGGATTGGTTCAGGTTTCAAGTGTAAGCCGTGTGAATCTGACTTTGGGCTTATTAGCTAGAGAGCCTGTTAACATTATTTTGATGTTATAATGTAGAAGGATATTGTCCCAGAAGAGCTTGGCATAAATCGCTAGTTGACATGAACACTGGGTAGGTCAACAGAAAGTCATCCAAAAGTGTGTCTGTAAAGAGAAACAGACACATCATTAAAATGCAATCGGACCATTTCAAATGCTTTACGTCCGCCATTTCTAAAACGGAGTCATTTCAAAGGAGAGCAACATGAGAGAGATTTCAGTGAGGATAAAGTCCTGCGAGCTTCCAATGATGACTTCCACCAGCCCGGTGAGGATTCTCTACTTCTGCTGTATTTAGCTGAGCAAGTTTAAACAAGCCCCGCGCATTGCTTTATCTTCAATGAAACACGCAATAACCATATCGGCCTCTAAATGTGCTGATGAGCCGATCACGTTAATGTGTGGGTTGATTTACTGCAAACTTTGATGGAGTCTGACTGATCGTGCTCGGACATGTTGTTTGTCCTCCTCAAGGCTGTACATGCTTACATGTTGACTCCGGGCTGTAGACGGCGTACACCCTGAACTGGTTACCGGCCAATCGCAGGACACACATCGACCAACAACCACACACGCTCACATTATCCTCACAACAATCTTTTCCAAAGCCAAACCTTGACAAATGTCCTTTCAGAGAAAAATCATCCCAGATTGATTCCCTGATTTGCTGTTTCAATCATCCATGGGATCAATCAGACTGACAATCCTTTTTCAAATTCAAGTACGCATAAAATTGATTATCACAGCCTTGGAATTCAGCATGTTATCATGGAACCATTCCCCATGTAGCTTCTTTGTAGCTGCTCTTGTGTTTATGAACACAAAATATTCTTCTGCATGAGTTTTAAAACTTACAGCACATATATAAAGTACAATAAAAAAAATATGCCGTGGTGGTATATTGGTAGTATTTATTCAACTAGCGGACTTTTGTGCCACTGGCAGGTAATCAGTGTGTGTCTCTGTGATTAGCCTCACATAGAGATAAAGCAAAAAGTGTCTTTGTCTTTTATATAGAATTCAAAGGAGGCCAAATATTGCTGTGTGTTTTGACATCTCGCAATCGGATAATTAGTCGTGGGAGAACTTGATGGGCAGTGAAAGTTCACCTCCAACACTACAGTGCTCAGGAAGTTAGTGATAGTGACAAATGTCAAACTTTGCACCATGCCCACATTGTGGTATTTCCTTACACACAGTCAGCCCTGTCTCTGTTACAATCTCATGACTTCAACAGGCTGTGGAAAAAGGGGCAAGAGGCTGCCTGGTGACCAGTGCAGACGTCACCCACCTTTATCCCCATGTCTGTGATAGGCCCCAGCCTCCCTGCAAAATGTTTCCTCAGACAGCCATCTTTGAGAGAAACAATAAACAGCATGCAGGATGCAAATGAGCCTATCGAATAAGTCAGACCTTTAGTTATCAGTGGGTGGAAATCAACTGCTGACTCATTGTTTCTTCTCTTTTTAGGTGTGTGGCTCTTTGACCTTGGGACATAACCCCCCCATGCTCCCTGCAGTGAGCTTCAACACTGTCATATCATGAATGTAAACTGAATGATTACTCAACAAGACCGCTGAACTTAAAGGTAAGTGTCTTTATTGTGAATTAGTGTGCATATTTTTAACACGCGGTGGTGACTATCACACAACAAATCCCATGTGACAACATTGAGATCAATTTCATTGACTTCCTCATCAGAATGAGTAATTGCCGTTGAGGTGCTCCGTCTGCTTCTGTCCAAGTGACAGGTCAAACGTGACCATTTGCATTTACCAGGAATCAAATTGGTAAATCTTGCTCTCCCTCTCTCCATCTTTCTCCCCCTTGCTCGTCTCTGCCGGCTGCATTCACAATTTCTCTTCCAAGCTTCAGCAGCAGAGACTTTCCTCTGCCTTGGCAACAGTGTCACCTTATTATGAGAGTACTCGCTTCCATGGAGCGAAGTGCATTTGTTGTCAGAGTATGTTTATATTTGAATGCTATGCCTGCCTGCTGCCCTCAATAACAAGAGCCGAACTACACATTTGGGGAATGATTGTCTGCAATTAGAGAAAATGAAAAGAAAAACAGTTTGGTGACATTTCCAAAGGAGCAGGAACGTATCCCAGCTGACTTCAGTTGAGCAGGGGTGCATCCTAGACTTGTAACCAGTTAAGCTCGGCGCAAATATAGACCATACCAACCATCCAAAATCACAATCACACCCAAGACTATTTTAAAGTCTTTGCTACAAACTCACCTATTTGCTGTTTTTGTGCTCAGACCAAAAGCCTGTCTCAAATCAAAATATTGTTTTGGTGCCATCTTGTGGCATCTTGTTGCCAAGGAACTATTTTGAAGTGAATTGCGGAGCTTCATGTAGATCTTTGCCATCTTGTGGCATCCAAAAGCAATTTCAGGATCCATGTTTTAGGGCAACATCAATGACTCACTGATTTCTGCTTTTTGTGGCAGAAAGACTACTCCACATCCTAAAACGCATGTTTTTCGGATGTGGACAAGAAACCCCCAAAAAGTTAGAGCCGAGATTCAAACCCAGAACCTTTGACTGTGAGGCAGTCTCGCAGACTTCTGCTCACAATGATGACATCACAGAACCATGTTTATAATAAAGCATTCATATGGAAAAAATCAGATGTTTTCCTGAAAGAAGAACCCAAACAGTAACAGAGGGGCTATGGGGGGTTTGGCACTGACCTGTGTCTTTGCCCTCTGTGGCCACCTGGTCCTCCTCCAGCTTCAGGTCATTCAGCAGGTGATCCAGGATTTTCTCTGGGGTCCCTGACACCACCGTGTACCTGTCAGACACCACAGAGTCAGTGGACGAGTCCTCGTCCATGGAGGACAGCGAGCGGCCGCTGCTCCACTCCTCCTCGCCCTCCGTGCCCTCGTCGTCGATGTAGCGGAAGTAGGGCACGTCAAATGTGGGCAGAGTGGACGGATCTACCCGGTCGGCACCGTCACTGCTGCCGCCGGTCCCCTCCTCGGACCCTTCCTCGTCTTCGTCTTCATCCTCCTCCTGCTCCACTAAGGCGACGTGCAGCAGCAGCATCTCATCCCGCACCAGGCTCATCCTTGCCCTCACGCCGGCAATGTTACCGTGGTTACTGTTGCATGCCCCTTTTACCCTGCCATCCAGAGTCCTGTAACCCCCCCACACCCTCTGTAATCCAAACAAGCCCCAGCCCCCAAATGACTTGATCTCAAAGGCTAGAGCTCACAGTTCCATGCTGGTGAGGTCCATCTAACACAGTCCTAGTTCAGCAGTAGTTGTGATGGACGCATGTGTGAGAGTAACACAGAGAGAATGATGAGAGGTGGAGAAAGCGTTAGTGAGAGAGGCAGGCAGAGATTTGTGGAGTGGCTTTACCTCCTGTTCCTCGCCGCCTCCTCCTCCTCCTCTTCTTCCTCCCGCTTCCCTCCTCCCCTTGCTGGCTGTGACGCCATCCTCCGGAGGACCAGAACGCAGCGGCCCTGCTCCTGCACGCGCACTGCTTCGTCACTCTGTACAGGCTGGACACGAGGGATGGAGAGAAGGGAAGGGTTTTATTATCACCAAGGAGATACCCTCCACTCCCACTCCCACTCCCCCACTCCTGCCCTGCTTGTTCTCCAACTAACACAAATCACCACTGATTTCCATCACAATGCTGTGTCAAAGCCTGCGCTGTAAATGAAGCCCAATTTCCACTGATCATTATTCAAGCTATATCAGTAGGAGCCCCTTCAGGGATTAACAGAAGTGGCTCATACATATTTTAATTACTGATTCCTGATGTCAGCTCTATTAAATTATGACTGGTGCCTTTGGGGTCTCGGTGGTGTGGAGTTAACAATGTTTGCTGTCTCCCACCTGTCTTGATGATTTCATATCCAGATTTGTCATGCCAAGTCACCCAATCTGATATAAATCTGAACCAGGAAAGGTCACCCCTGTTCCATCTTTAAAACTTATTCAGGGAGACAGGCAGGCAGGTCCTTGGTTTTTTGTTTTTGCATTTTTTGCAAGCTAACTAGACCATGTGGGTGGCAAACTACTCTAACTCCTAATAACATTCCAATTATTTGCACATACATAATATGCACAGCAATTACCAGTGTTTTCTTGCCAGGAAATGTATCTTTGTTATTTTCTAAATTACATAAATTAAATAGAAACAAATGCAGTACATCAAAGGTGTCAAACTCCGGTTCCTGAGGGCCCCGATCCTGCATGTTTTAGATATTTCCATCCTTCAACACACCTGATTGAAAGGATCAGGTCATCAGGACGCTCCGCAGGAGCCTGGTAATGGTCCTGTTAATTTAATCAGGTGTGTTGGAGGAAATTCGGTGGAGTCGTTAACAACTCTGGTGTCGTGTGTCAAATTTACAAGACATATTTCTTTTCACCCTGAATTCCATGAATATACCACCTATCTTCAAAGCATTACTTTTGAGCAAAATCCTACGACATTGTCATGGTAACGAACTCCATGCACCGTAAATGTACACAGTCGACTGATGTACTGCATACAAACTCCAAAGAGCATTTGTTGTTCCAGCTTGCAAGAAGGGAAAGGATTATAAACCACTTGACAATGGCGGGTTTGGAAGGATCACAGATATTGACCATAATGAGCACCTCACTGTATGGTGCACGCACATGCATCCTGCACCAGTTCACCCTTTCAAATGCCTCTCCCCTCACCTGTCAGTCAGTGCAGCACTCATCTCTGTGTATGCAATTAGCTGTGCAGACACCCTGGAAGTGTTGTTTTTTTTTTTGTTTTTGTTTTTTTTTGGAGGGTGGGGGCGGGGGTGCTCCTTTAATTGCCTTTTGAGCAGAAGCATTCAAGCGTTTTTTCTAGGGACATTATCATTGTTACGATATGGTGGACATGCAATAATAACGTGCAAGTCTTGTGCTACAAGTACACAAAACATTCGCATTGCACGCATTTAAACATCATGACGCACACATGTATCGATTTTCTATAGCGCTTGCCTTCATTCCGGTTACCGGTGAACTGGAGTGGATCCTCGTTGGTTTTATGCGAGTGGTCAAAATGCACCTGGGACGGGTCACCGGCCCATCACAAAGAACATAGAGAAGAACAAGCATTCACGCTCACAATTACGTCTTTGGACAAGGTAGAGTTTTCACTTTAACCCGAACATGCAGGCCGTAGCCGAGTTTTTAAACCATACACCTCTGATCAGCGAGGCAGAGCACAGATAGGAAGTGACAAGTCATGACAAGTACACACCTGCAGCAATGATCAAAAGGTTGCTTATTTGCGCCTGGGCAAAAAGGTGGACCATGTGGCAAATGGCAAAGCAAGTATATCACTATTATGTCAGTTTGTCAGCCTTGCACTGGTCAATGTGCAAACAAACCTTTCCTCATGATGAATTATTGATCCGACGCTAATGCTGTAGCCACTACTAGTACACTCTGACTGAGCAATGCTGTTGTCTCAGTAAAATAATCAGCTCTCTGGTGTCCAATGCTTGTAACAGGACAGAAATCCCGGGCACTGATATGACCCCAATCCCTATTCAGCTTTGAAGTTTTCCCAAAATGGACTCTGTCTGTCTTTTTTATTTTTTGTCTCTCTTTGGGTTCCAGATGCATTCCGCTGGTTGGAGAAATCCTCTCTGCTATGTGATGTTGGCAAACATGGTATGGAACACTCAAAGCGACCTGGAAGATGTCAGCCTTGACACGGCTCACATTTGGCCTTAATTATGCTCAGCGTTGTTCAAACACTCGCTGGGTTTTCAAAGAAGCAATTGATGTTGACTTGGTTATCCCCAAAAGTTCCTTGCAAGAAGTCTCTGTTCTCAGGCTTTAAGCTCTGATGACATCACCAGTGTGCACGGGATGCAAGATAAATGTTAAATATGAATTCTCTGAAGGATTGAATTCATTGGGAAATCAAACCAAACAAGACTGAAAGTGAGTGCATAACGGTCAGAGTGCACTGGACTGAAATAGTCATTCACCATCTGGGAACTCTAAGCTCTTTGATACCCATGTTTGGTTATGTATTTGAGTCACATGGCCGGTATGCGCGTCGCATCATTGGATTACTGCAAACTATGACATTATCTGGAAACAAAACTAGATAAGCTCTATATTTTCCCATGTCAGGTATTAACTAAGATTTGCTCGGATAACACGTGATGGACATGTACATATAGGTACAGTACATTGGTCACGTGATTTCTACTATTGACAGTATCTAGCAGCCGTATTACGATATCTTTTTTTATGCCATGTTATCAGGCGCAGATTAGCAAAGACATTGTGCAGGCAAAACGTCCTTCTGTTGAAAAACAAGAGCGATAAAGAGAAAAGGTCGAGGACTTGACGCACTCGACTCCACCCTGAAGCCACATAATTTCCCCCCGCATGGTGGTCTGGCCCGCTTGCGTCACTCCATCCTGCCATTGTGGTGCAGTCTCGCTTGCGCAAGCACCCAGTCAGCAGGAAGCTGAGCCCGCCATGATCTCGACCAATAAGAGGCCATCATTTTAAAAGTTCGGTGGACTGGTTTGACATGACGCCATTCTCCCCGCTGTGCTTTATTCCTCCAATTTAACAATTGTTGATTCACTCTGGTGTTTCCTCACATTTATTTCAAACTCATTTAACTGACTTCCCGACAGAATTGAAGCCAATACAAGCATCGTGGAATGTTAGAGCAGACAGTTGGCTCCAAAAATATTTAACCAGGATTTTTTTTTTTTTAATGATTTTCATGTTTATAAACTACCAGAATGGATTTGAAATCAAACAGCATGCATGGCTGCTAATGGAACATGTCCACTGGTGTTTATTTGTGATGCGACTAACTGAGCGAAATAACAAGAATTGACTTGGAAGATGCGTCGAACAGCAGCAAGCTGTTGCTTGGCCAATTTGTAGCTTTGTGTTGTGAGCCAAAATTTGAGTATGAGCAAGCTTCAGATACGCCACTGCTTGAGGAAAATGAGAGTAAATGGAGCGATTAAGGTATTGCAATTAGGGCCCGACCGATATGGTTTTCTGAGGCAGATACTCACTCACTCGGCCACACCCACTGAAGGCTACAAATGAATACTGCGGTATGTACAGTAATTCCACTTTATAAAATACGTTTATTTCTTGTCATTCTCATTTATTATGATTTCTTTTTTTTTTTTTTAATTTATTTTTGTTTTTTTTACATATTACACTAAAATGTTTTCTTTTTCTAAACCGCGGTGGTATTTTGGTGGCTTGATAGATTAATGGCATTTTAATACATTTCAATGAGGAAAATTGATTGGATAAACTGTACTAAAAATCTGATAAGACAGCCATTCACAGCATGGATAATGACCCTGAACATACTGATTGAAGGCAAAGAAATCATAAAGTAAATATTATTTGTCAGTGACTGGATCATGACCCAATAGAAGATGCTTTTTACTAAAAGACAAACATGGAATCAGCTGGAAGGTCGACTCAGTGAAGACTTGGTCAAGTGAAAAAAAAAACATTCTCCCCTTAGTGTTCCCAACTTGTTTGATTCCTAATCGATTGTGCTGATATTTATTATAAAAACTGTCACAGTCTAAATATTTCTGGACCTAACCGTAGTGTGTGTTCTGTTTCCTCGGTGGCTTGCCTTGCAAATGAATTGTTTTGAGGGAATGTATTGTGTTGGCATACTGCAATATTATTATACAGTATCATCTTAGTCTTTTTGTATCCTTTTCAGTTGTACTCAAGCGCCAATTTAGTAAAAACGTAATAAAAAATGTTATTGTTGACATCACTCAAAAGATGGAGCACAGCCTTTCGGCAACATTGAACTTCTACATCACCTCATTTGCATAATCGAGTTGCCAAAGTTTTTACCGTTCCGTGTGCCTCACCTCATTTGTCCTTTGCAGGCCCTTGCTGTGATTCTGCAGGAAGCGGCAACCATCCTTGGCCAGTCTCTGGACCATCTCTAATCTGGACACTTCCTCCTTATCATGCACGATGCACATGCTGCCCGGCTGCAGAGAAGGGGGCGCGGAGAACATGTACCTCAGACCGCAGTCCCACGACATCACTGCCTCACCGACCGGGATAACGACAACAACCGGCGTCTGGGAGCTGACTTGTAAAGAGGCGTGCGGGGGTAAAATCACTCAGACGTCAACTCGATTGTCACCGAAGACAAAATCCCTGGGAGTACAGGTGCGTGCGCACAAAGTGAATGGCACACTCCCTTCTCGTCCTTCCTTTGCCTTTCACTACAGGGGCGGGGAGGGAGATGGGAACAGGGCAGGTTCAGGAAACATCTGGCCAGCCAAACACACCCAAAAGGGAAGTGGGAGAATCTCTTGAATGCAGGAGAGTCTGGATTCAGGACTGGGCGGGGTGCTTTGTTGGAAGGTCAAACATTTTGTTCGGTCAATCCCACAATACAATAAGCAAATGTCAAATCGCGTTTGTTAGGCGTTTCTCGGCCTTACATTACGCTTCCTATGAAGGATGGACATGATAATGATAAATGTATCAAGAAACAGGCCAACTTTTATTCAGCATTGAGGTTGAGACGAGATCGCAAAATTATCTTTCGAATTTGTTGGTTGGCACTTTTCATTGACTAATTTGCAGACGAAGATAAGAAATATTCATTTTACAATTTACCAGTTGAATTTTTATGACTTTTGACATGCGCTGCAAGGTTAGTTAAAAAAGGTGAAGCTGGGAAGAGTGAGAAGGGAGGGTGTACTGTGGAACCTTTCTCTCTATTCGAAGATACAAATGAACCATTTATGATTAAAAGAATAACACACTTTACCTTCAAAACACTGTAGTAAATAAAGATAATTCAATTTTAGAGGCAAAAATAATTTCTTCCGCTTTGTGCTCTCAGGCTGATTTTTGAAGATATCACATTAATGATCCTCAAGTAACTGAAAAATGGTCACCTGACTACAGTTTGTCCAGTTTTTTTTTTTTGGTTCTAAATGAGGAGATGGGATTTGGCCACTGTCATGTAAAGAGCTGGATCTATTCTGTGAGAAAGAGGGCTTTTTCCCCACCCCTAAAAATCCTCAACTATTTGCCTGAACACCTTTAACAGAAAGCTGATGAAATGAACTTGACCATATGAGACCATATGAACATAATATAACTGCTTTCCTGACTGACTTTAGCGTGTTTCAAAAAGTTGAAAAATTTGGGAGCATGAAAGTGGCCCTTTCGTGCTTCCAGTTTTCCGTATGCGGCCCTCAAACGAAAACGTTTGGACACCCCTGGTATCGACTGACCAAGAACATTCATTTTTTTCTCCCCATATGACCATTTTATCTATTAGGGTTCTATCGATTTGTCCAGAGTCAGCAGCATACGCTTGACTGCATCCTTACAAGGCCATCCACTTGTGCCCGCGTCCCATATGTGCTGACTCATCAAAGTGCCGCGTGAAAAAAGGGTTCGCAATTTCAGTTGCTCTTTCTTCTTTTGCACCTTTTACCCTTTCACTTGTTTACGAAAACACAATCGGAGTATTCTTACTTCTATCGAGTGTCTCCTCATTTGACTACACCAGCAGGCACACTGTAAAAATAGGCAATCTTAAAGCATACATATTATCCAAAATTGACATTACAATTGATTGCACACAAACATTTGGCTATTTGGAGCACCTGCCTGTCCATCCATCAAGTGTGAAATTAAACAACCCAAAAAATCTTTGGTTATCCACCTAATTCTGAAAATGTTTTCTTTCAGCAAGCCGTTAAGCATTTGTGGGACATCAATTCTGAATTTCCACCATTATCTAGGCCAGCTGAAGATTCAGAGCTACTTTCAAGCGATCACCAAAGAATGGCCACCAGACGACACTGTCTGAAATGCTATCATGCAAGGGCACAGGTGGGAGTTAATGCTCGAACTCCCACAAGTGTCCGAGGCTCCTGCCACCAGGTTAAATCCAAAAGGTAAGCAGAGCTGCATTGATTGTTAGTGGATACACATATTAGTGTTAGCTAACAGTTTTGCTTCTGATAAGTGTCACAAACTCGATTGCTCTGTGAAGTTGTCGGATGGGTGAGAGTGGGTATTTGTGTTTGGTGATGTGTTTATCTCTGCGCTGGGCTCCCGCAAGTTGAAGTTACGCTTGCCTTTCAGTCGTAACTCCACTTGCAGTCGTCATAGTGCCAACTGTGTATTTGCCACTGGACCAGTAGTACTGCTTATGGGGCAGAGCGCGCAGTTGCAAACTTGCACTAGACAGGGTATCCTTTTAAAATAAATGTCAGCCAGACAAGAAATAGGGTGTGTTGAGTTGAATACAATTCTTCAAAAATGGGAAATTTTGACAAAAGCGAGTCTCAGGCATGTTATTGAGACACTCAGGAACTGTTTTCAAACATTGCACAAAATATGTCTTATGTCTATTAAAATAAATTTGAAAAAGAAACACTCTACATTTCTCAACTGTACCAAAGCAATTGATCAAAACCGTAAAATGCAATTGAGTAGCCTGTATGAGAGTGATCAGTCGTGATGCGTAGGGGTGTATGTAGTGTGTTTTCAGGTGCGCATTAGAGTTCTGATGGAGAGAGAACGGTGAGAAGGCTCTTCCTCAGCCTCTGGGTTGTGGCCCTGCAGGAGCAGAGGCGCTTGTCAGAGGGGAGCTGAGTGAAACAGTCTGTTTATTGTTGGGGTGGCCAATGTCTTTGATGATTTTCTTGGCTCTGGACCGGCACCTTGTGGTGTTGATGTCCTGGTGCAAACGGGCATATTTCCATTGCCATTGTCCAGGTGGTAGGATCGAGGATATAAGCAATGGCCTCATCAGTGCTTCTGTTTGGGCACTAGGAGAACTGAAGGAGGTGGGAAGTGATGAGCTGAATAAGTCATAATGAGTCCTTCATTAGTAGATTACCTCATGCAAAGACGAACTGCAGCTCGTCTTTCACTGTACATTTCATCATGCTGCATTCATTTATTTATTTATTTTTTGCTGTTGTTTATTATCGTTGGCACTGCTCTTCTAATCTAGATCACAGGCATCTGGCCCTCCATCTCATTGTATGTGCTCCATGCCAAAGATTTCCACATGTTTTCTCTTCTTAACTAGACCGAGATAGTTAATAACCAGATGCAGGTGCAATTATGTAACCTGATGTGCTGATTATTAGGTTTCCCTCACTGAACAACACAACAGGGAAAGGAAGTGTAACTGTCCCGTGCTCTGACCGCATGCCTGTGAACAAACTCACTGCAGCTCAGCCTCTGCCAAGACCAGATGCCGTGCCAATGAGACCCTTTTGGCAGAACGTCGGTCTTATTGGAAATGGAAGCATAGCAGTGCAGTGAAGGGAAAAAAAATGGTGAAATGCAGAAAGGAAAGATTCAAGCGGTTGATGTTTCATTTTAAATGGAATGATATCTGTAATCTATTTACAGAAAACATAAACTCTCTATGACCTTAGAACAAAGGTACGACAGAACAGTGATATTTATTTATTTTGCATACCGTTACACCCCTAGTAATTATACATTTGTGTGATTTCAAGCTTTATGTGTTGCAGCCCTTCCTGTTCTTGATGTTTTCTGATGCTGCATTCATTTATTTATTTATTTTTTGCTCTTGTTTATTATCGTTGGCACTGCTCTTCTAATCTAGATCACAGGCATCTGGCCCTCCATCTCATTGTATGTGCTCCATGCCAAAGATTTCCACATAGTTCCCTTGTTTTCTCTTCTTAACTAGACCGAGATAGTTAATAACCAGATGCAGGTGCAATTATGTAACCTGATGTGCTGATTATTAGGTTTCCCTCACTGAACAACACAACAGGGAAAGGAAGTGTAACTGTCCCGTGCTCTGACCGCATGCCTGTGAACAAACTCACTGCAGCTCAGCCTCTGCCAAGACCAGATGCCGTGCCAATGAGACCCTTTTGGCAGAACGTCGGTCTTATTGGAAATGGAAGCATAGCAGTGCAGTGAAGGGAAAAAAAATGGTGAAATGCAGAAAGGAAAGATTCAAGCGGTTGATGTTTCATTTTAAATGGAATGATATCTGTAATCTATTTACAGAAAACATAAACTCTCTATGACCTTAGAACACAGTTATATTTATTTATTTTGCATACCGTTACACCCCTAGTAATTATACATTTGTGTGATTTCAAGCTTTATGTGTTGCAGCCCTTCCTGTTCTTGATGTTTTCTGCTTTTTCTCATACCTTGCATGAAGTCATGCACGACAGGGATTCACTCTTTAGATTTTTGTAGATGCCGTGCCAATGAGACCCTTTTGGCAGAACGTCAGTTATCTGTAATCTACTTACAGAAAACATAAACTCTCTGTGAACCGAACTATGACCTCAGAACAAAGGTGTGACAGAATAGTGATATTTATTTATTTTGCATACCGTTACACCCCTAGTGATTATGCATTTGTGTGATTTCAATCTTTATGTGTTGCAGCCCTTCCTGTTCTTGATGTTTTCTGCTTTTTCTCATACCTTGCATGAAGTCATGCACGACAGGGATTCACTCTTTAGATTTTTGTATGACTTTAGAGCAGTGGTTCTTAACCTTGTCAGAGGTACCAAACCCAACCAGTTCTTATGTACATTCACCGAACCCTTCATTAGTGAAAAACAAAAATATGACTTTTTACAAATTCAAGACAGAAAAAACACATTCATGAAAAACAGAAAAAAGTAAATAAAAAAAGAAATAAGTATTATGTGTTGCAGCCCTTCCTGTTCTTGATGTTTTCTACTTTTTCCCATACCTTGCATGATGTCATGCACGACAGGGGTTCACTCTTTAGATTGACTTTAGAGCAGTGGTTCTTAACCTTGTCAGAGGTACCGAACCCAACCAGTTCTTATGCACATTCACCGAACCCTTCATTAGTGAAAAACAAAAATATGACTTTTTACAAATTCAAGACAGAAAGTTTTTTAAATTTTACGACGTACTATCACGACAGTCACACGTTGACTACTGAGCGGACTAAATTTCCCGCAGCACTGATTGAACAAGCAATGTAATCATCTGCAGCCAGTGATGGCCAAGCGGGCGTGTCACAACTAATTGACATGTTGAGTTGGGTGTGTGTTCACCTCCATGGCAGAGGCTCCGTCGAACCCCTGAGACCGATTCACCGAACCCCTGGCGGTTCGATCGAACCCAGGTTAAGAACCACTGCTTTAGAGGCATATTGACTTTCAGAAAATGTTGGTCAAATTCCCAAATTGTATGATCTCATGGGAATTTGGATGAAGAGGTATATGACTGTATCATACCGCAGGGAGACAAAGGACATCGCCAGCCTTGAATATCTACGAACAGCTTTGTACTACGTTTCTTTGTAGAGTCCTTTTCTAGTTTCTCAATGAGGCAACCGCAGCTTCAGTGTGCTACCACTGACCCAGTTTCTAAAGTAAACGAATTTCAAAGTGAGAATGCCTCAAGTCAGGCTTGTTAGTGTGGGCACGTTAATCAGGGAATAGCACGAAAAGCATTGGGGATGCTGTAAGGCCTGAAGCAGCAGGAGGAGGATGTGATGAAAGCTCATTTTGCTTGTTGCGCTTTTTCATTGAGACCCAAATCTTTCAACCTCTGCTTATCTTTCGGTTTACAGTATTACACTTGTGGCATGCCTTCTTATGTCCTATCCTTCACGCATAAGCTTCACTGCTTGAAAACAACTGCAAAACAGAGTCGATACATAAATCAATATTGCCATTAAAACAAAAAAAGACAAAAATCACAACATCATCAATCATACACACCAAAAAAAAAAACCACGTTTTAAAATATACACTAAAAAATGGTAGACCAAAGTACTGACAGATTAGGTGATTTTTTTTTTCTCACAATTTTGGGGTGGTTTTTTTTTTTGTGATGTTCCCACAGAAGGGAGGAAAAGAGATTTTAACCGAAGATCATAAATCGGAACTTAACTGCCACAGAGTAACTGGCTGGTTCTGGCTGCTCAGTGTTATACAAGCAGAAGAGGGTCTCCTTGGAGTTCTTTTCCAACGGTGCCGGTGAAATAACCCCAATTTTTTTTGTAACACGTGCTAACACAGGAGTAAAGTCATAATCAAAGTAAATGTAAATGAATAAAAAATTCGAATTGGGAAAACATGTAAGAACAGCGGTAACAGAGTGTGCCTCCTTTTGCTGCATGTTTGTGATCTCATGCTGCTGTGTGAAGAAGTTCATTTAATGCTGTTTGTGCTTCCACATTCCACACTTGAGATTGAAAACGAGGTCCAACTCCACAAGAAAATGAAAATCAAAAAAAGCTTCATTAATTGCATCACTGCCAATACAAAGCCATCAGGGCAAACGTTATCAGCGTGCACGCTTCCTGTTTCCTCTCCATGTCTGTCAAGCTGTCAACGGGCGAGTGGTTTTACGTCATCTTAGTTTTAGGATGTAGTTTCATTGTACAATGGTTAACGTATCTATCTGAAATTTTAAAGGCAATATAAAAGTTATTTCGAGAGGCTTTTTAAATTGGAGTGCAGTTGACGAAGGTTGAATGACACCAGCAATTTGAGTCAGGATCAAATGATTTCACTTTGCATTATTTTCCATGAGAAAGGAAAGGAAAACAACCAATGTCAATGGATTGAGTTCGACCTGAAAGGTTCTACTGTACTTCTACAAATTGATGATGTTACCGGTAGTTGTAGTTCGTGTTCAGTTTGAATTGGGTAAGCCAATTAGCGTCGCCTTATTTAACTTTTGACCATACTTTTAGCAAGTTCACCATCATAAATTTCACATTACAGCAGTTTTCCTTGCCGCTCTACTGGCATCATGTCAAGACAAAAATGTAATTTTACTAGTTCTTTATTATTTATCATGAGGAGGATATCAGTCAAACATAAACAGTGACAACACACGATATGTCGAGGTGACAGGAAAATGATACAAATATATTGCAGAGGTGATGCTGGTTGTGGGCTGCGTATGGAGGCAATATGAAAACATAGAGTAGCTGTCTTCATGCTCTCTGTCGAGGTGAGGTCATGGTGGGTCCATTTGAAGTATGAAAGTGTGGTTGAACACCCCCTGTAGGAGTGACAGTGTTGATTTCAAACATTTTGAAAAATATTGACTAACCCGATAAAATGGGTTTTTTTGAAATACACGTGCCATTGGAGATCAGTTTTTTGTTCTATAGCACTCAGGACAATACGTTTATCTGTTGTTGTGCGTTTGTTTGATTCCTGCACAGTAAAAAAAGAATCAGTTGAAGACACTCTTTTTTTGTCCGTTAAAAAGGGAGCTGCCTCTCGTACTTTTATTTGGGGTTTATTTCATATGATCTCATGTGCAATTCCCTTTATTTTCCTTAATTGGAAATCCTGGAATATTTCCAAGTGGGTGGATCAGTACCGTCTTGTATAATGCCCGTCTTTCTTAGCAATGCATCAGCGTTTGCTTCACAACAGCGGTTCTTTTGTACATGCAGTTTAAAAAAAATGTCATCATCCATCCACTTTCATAGCGAAAGCTTTCAAAGGTTCATTGAAAGCCTTGCGGTAATCCTTTGGGGTTTACTCCTGTTGTAAATTCCACTAGGACATCGCCCCCGGAGGTTTCATTGCTGCATTTATAGCGGCCATTCATATTCATGATACACTGTTGCTCCCATTCTATTGCACCTGAGTTCTGGTTTGCTGCTTTATCGCATGCAGGCCCTGCAGGGAGGAAGCAGCTGAGGTGAGACAGAGACTCTGGCTGTGGTGTGCGGAAATGAATGGCTAAGTCACGGAACGGGAGGGACACATTCATTTCACATGGTCAGAGCGGACTCGGTGCTGGTAAAGCATCTCGTGCTTGCATTTGGGGGCCTTGTCTCCCCTTTTAGGTGTCCAGGCGACGTTTTCTCTTGGCTTTGTGCGCATACAGGAAGTACATTGTGTGTCCAGTGGTGATGAAGAGCACAGAAATGAGAACTAGGATACCAAAATGCTGTGGCTGTGGAGCAGAGATGACCATTATGAAGTGGAGCAGGTCCATCAGGTAATTCATAGAGCTCTGCACCCCATTTACAACACCTCGCTCGGACTCACAGATGTTCTCCTGCAACAGCTGGGTGACTGTCAGGTCAAAGGACCACAAACCTGCAACACAAGTGACAGTGGGCTTGAAAGAAATGACCAGGGTAGCAGTTGATTTGTAATTGTGACAGTGTATATCGTAATGACCGCCTGCGCATGATATCCAAAACTGTATTCAAATATTTTGCCTTTACAAAGAAAGTGCAGTTTTGATTGACAGTGCCAGAATAGGTAGTTTGTGATGGTACTGCCTACTGCATCATAATGAGAGCTATTACGGATACCTCAATTGGTTACACAAAAGAGTGAAAAATATTAGCGACAGCTCTGATTATGATGCAGTGCAATTTTACATCACAGCAAATGACCATAACTAATAGCATATTGTCAAATAATGCCTCTCTGACAGTATGAATCAAAGCTGAGCACTTTTACCTGTGCATAGGCAGCAAATTTGTGTTTAATACAGTATCATTATATTGTGCAATTAGTGATTATGGCTGGTCGTTGTGCATGGTAATATTAAATTTACACATGGTGAGAAATTGTTTCAGATTCACTTTTTTTGCCTTAGTTGTTTGAAAAATGAAAGCCAAGTATTAACGACAGTGCGTTATGTATGTGACCTTAAATGCATTTTTGATGTGGATTTAAAAAGTCTCGACTCTTTCCTTGCACATCGGGATTTTGAGATATTCTCCTTTTTTGTTTTAACCTTTTACCAATCAAAGCTTGCGCAACATAGAATTCACCGTGCGTAATAATTTATAAAGTATTACTTTTAAGAAAAAAAAAAATCCACCTGCTGATGAACAGCAGCTCTGCTGGTTACAGCTAAGTAGTGCACTATCATCTGCCTTAACATTCCTGTAGGCAAGTTGTGTCCTGCGGCCAGTTCTGATCAAATTGATGTTATGATGCCACATCTACAGAGCTGCTTTCATCTTTTATATCATAAGGTCATCAATTTACAAAACTTTTCCCTCACAATCCAGCTGCCTTATAAGGTTACCGTACTGGTAAGTGAGAGACTTTTTGGATTTAAACAGGTTGGCAGACAGATTAAGAATTGATTGTGGCATTTCACAATGGCGAAACTAACATGTTTAGTGGTGAATGCACTATGTAAAAGTAAATGAGCTCTACTGAATGCCTAGTGTTGTTTTAACCGCATCCGCTCACCGATGCGTGCCGTGATGACTCCCATGAACAAGAGGATAATGGAGGTGTAAGATTCTGGCGCGCTACCGGAGGGCACGTTGTCAAAAAGCACAGTGTTGTTGGTCCAGTGGATGGAGGAACGGTCGGGTAGAAGTGGTTGATTGCTGCCCCCCCTCGAAGCAGAAGTGTGTTTTTGTCTTTGGTTCGCCATGCCTCCAACCTCCGAGGAGGAGTTTGAGGTAAAGTAGGGCATGAGCAAGCTAAGATCCATGGGGCTGCCGGGGGCAAAGACGGAGCACACGCACAGGAGCAAGCAGCCCAGGTGGAGGCAGCTGGAGATGATGCCCGTGTTGATCAGACCGTACGTCTTCCTCAGTCTCGTAAACATGACGGTGCCCATCAGACCGGTGATGGCCGATACGCCCATCAGCACACTGAGGAAGGAGCCGC